AAAATTGCATGGGCACGTCCATAAAGTCACCAGCTTGACTTGAAGGAGACTTTACATACTTATATTGCACCTATATCTACACAAATTACCCTCAAGTAACTTAACCAGAAACAGCCACTTCTTAAATAGCTGCATGTTTTAAACTGATGAGATTACATCCTTACTGTTTCAAAAAGGAATATAAATTTGAATTCTCTACAAGAGGGACGCCAGTAACTCTCTTTATAACAGATAGAGCAAAACTGTTTAATTGATTTTTATCATGTTGTTCCCTTCAGGTGCATAGACCAGTTTATGAAAATTAAAGCAATATATTTAGAAAGTATAACAGTCATTTGCAAATGTCATATTTTAAAACACCAGCATGAAAGAACAAATCCAGAAACAGCGAACTGAAAACTCAGCATGACAAACTCTAAAGTGAAATTAAAAGAAAAAAGTTTTCAACAAACATCCAAGTATTAAAAGGAATCTTAACAGAATATTTTAAAACACCAGCATGAAAGAACAAATCCAGAAACAGCGAACTGAAAACTCAGCATGACAAACTCTAAAGTGAAATTAAAAGAAAAAAGTTTTCAACAAACATCCAAGTATTAAAAGGAATCTTAACAGATAAAGCAATATATTTAGAAAGTATAACAGTCATTTGCAAATGTCATATTTTAAAACACCAGCATGAAAGAACAAATCCAGAAACAGCGAACTGAAAACTCAGCATGACAAACTCTAAAGTGAAATTAAAAGAATAAAGTTTTCAACAAACATCCAAGTATTAAAAGGAATCTTAACAGATGTTCAAGCAGAAAGTATATTTCATAATAACTACCCTGTTGGAAAAGCCCAGTCATGGATACCTGCCAATCTGTTCTTATATCAGACGGTTGTTAATCTTAAATTGCATATGGATTCTATTAAGAGTGGATGACCCCAGCTCAAGATGTTTAGGGCTTTAAAGACAAAAAGTAGCAGTTTAAGCTGAATCCAGAAATAAAATGCAGGTGTATCATCAAAATAATATGCTCCAATTTCTAGATTGCAAAGAGTGATTTTTGTTGTTACACTGTGAATTATCTGAATTTCTGATCTTCTTTAAAAGCAGTGAATCTAGTCATCTTTCAAAACTTGCCTCCTGCCCCAGCTTCCACTCATTCCATATTAAGGAGAGTGACTGGTGGATGTTTTCCTGCTAACTGGTAATACTTAGTGGGATGGGAGGGAAACAAATCTGTGGGAAACTACCAGTCCCTTTCCTTAATGTGCCCAGTGCACTGTAATTATATTTGTTAACATAGTATCCGTAGCAGGATAGGGGTCTCTAATGGGGGCAGCAAATTTTCTGCCAGCTGAAGGTGCAGTGAATATTTTAACTTGACGATGAGGAAGGGCCCTACCGCTGACAATGTGACTGATCAGGGAAATTTTGCTATGTGGATTTTCTTTTTATGTTGTGAATTCTTTCTTCAAGGCTTTTAACGTTACCGAGTGAAGCATCTGATGTGCACCTATTAACAGTGTTTTCTATGTTGCAGGAATACATTTTTTTAAAATGTTGCCTGTGTAGTAACTCTTTTCATTGCTTGGAGTGAACTTACCTTAGTTATCTCAGCTGATGACATGGAGAGAAAATACAGCTGATTTTTGTTTGTGCTGATGAGAAGTGTCTCCTCTGCAGGGCTGAAGGCAATACACACAACGTCTTGTTTATCTGACTGGTTAGGATCGCTGCTACATTGATCTTGTGGAATCTATAAAATAAACCAATCATATTAGACTTTGTTCCCCTAAATATATGCCTACACCAATTCTGCTGCAAAATAATAATTAAAAACACGTTTTAAAACTCAAATACTATTCCATATGGGATGGCCAATAATCGCGGTGCACAATTCACTTGTGCTACAAATAAGCAAAACTGTTTTCTCTTGAGTTTGGTCCTATGACAAACAATGCATGTTTGACCAGCACTAGGTGGGAAGGATTACATAACAACTCTGTTACTGTTCAAATACCATAGTATACCTCTTGTCGGGCTTGGCAGCATCCCTTTCAGTCCCCCTTCCCAAGCATTAATTTTACTAGCTGCTACATTCTGGTCTGGAAAATAGTGTTTCATAGTAGCGAAGTCAAGGATTATGCACTTCTCAACTTTTACATACCCGAATCTCTCGACTTTCTCGGTAACCTTCCTTCTCATCTGACTTCTCAAATAGTAGAACAATCCCTGGGCCAGCAGAACAAGCAAATCCCTTGGAATATGCAGCAACAGCAGAGACTTGGGGAAGAGATGCTTGCTGCTGCCCTTCAGTGTCACAAATCACCTCACTAGAGTACTCAGGGGAAGTGGTAGCTGGAAATTCAATGAGGCTTGAAAAGTAAATGAGACAAAGAGCAGCAATCATTAAGAATTTCAAATATCTATTTTGCAGTGTGTAAAAAAAAAATTGTGATCCATTATTTTAAGGTGGTTGTCCTCCCAATTTGTGATTTTAAAGTTGCTGTGCTGTATACATTTCTAGGATTTTAAGTATGGCTTATTTTCTGAATACACACATTTTACAAACCCAGGATTAGAATTTAGTGTATTTAAGAAAGGTACTTACATTCCAATCTAAGAATGTTTCCTGGAAGGAAGCACTCAAATGATACCTTTAAAATACTCAAAGACAGTAACTTGAGCAAGGTCATCATACAATAATAACTATAGTACAGTTTTATCAAGAACTGGAGATGTAGTCCAATTGTTGAATAATGCTGATTGTTGATCCTACATTAAAACAGTTTGCAGAATACCTCACCTCTCTGATTCATGGGCTGGTTCTTCATTCAGCATTTCAGCATTTGGCTCTTTCCGCTCAATACTTGTCTCCCACCGTAAATCACCAGAGTCAAATAAATAGAGTTTGCCTGTATCAGTGCCCACAATCACTTTCTCTTCAGATAGCCAGGCATGAGACAAGTAGTTCTGGGGTTCTCCCCGCAAGAAATTGGTCTGTTTTAAAGTTCCTTCTGTGTATTTGTACAGCTTGAAAATACCATTTCCTGTAACACAGACTTGAGTGTTATCCTGAGGATTGAAGCTGACCTGAAAAGAAACACATCACAAGATCACTGACTATTTGATAATTATTATTGTATGTGCAATTCAAACAACTGATTTAAGTAATTAAAATCAAGGGGCATCATAATCCTATAATATATAGTGTGTATGTATGCATATTTTAATCCCACTAGGCAACCAAATGAAGAAATCCACAGGAAGGCTAAAATTATTTTTATTGGGATTGGCTATAATGATAGAATCTTGCAAGTCTAATTGTTTGGTACCTCTTCCTCCTTCTTATACTCCAGTGAATTAGGAAGGTATCTGCCTGAACCACTTCTGAATATTAACTCATTGTTCTGGATTTAAAAATGTTTCAGCCCATTTTGCCTTGGTAAGGATTCCTTTTCTTTGTAGTAATTTTATTAAAGATTATAATTATAACAGTAAAAAATAATAGAAACTAAAAAAACATAGAAGAATAAAAAGAAAGAGTAGAAGGTGCAGAAAAGAAAAAGGAAAAAAACAGAAAGAGAAATAGGAAAGAAATACAGAAATAGAAACATAAGAAAATAGTAAAGAAAAAGAAAAAAAATATATAAAGAAGTGACTTCCCACCTTCATCCCAACAAATATAAACAATTTTAGTAACTTATCACCTTCTCTTAAAATACAAATTATCTCTTCTTCCTATATCCCATCTCTTATCTATAAACAAATCCATAAAGCATCGTTACTTCAGTCCTGATGTCAGCAAAAGTCCATTAAGGGCTACCAGAAATAACATATCTATTTTAACCTTGATCAAATAAGCCAACATTATATTCCTTCCTTTAGCTTCTAACAATCTTAATCTTTAGTCCATTCAAATAATGTTGTATAAATTAATTTTTCATTTTTTCTTTCTCCCTTCTCACAAGATTCTTCAAAACTTTAACAAACCTCTTTTGCACCAAATCGAGACAGATTCATGGTGGCTTACAGAATTTTTGTGTAAACATAACTAAATAAAAAAGGGGGACGTGGTGGCGCAGCGGCTTAATGACGATGAAAGTTGCTGGCCAGAAATGGTCGACGCTTCAGCGGTTCGAGTCCAGCCTTCACGTTAA